CCTAAAAATTATATACTAATAAGTTTTATTAAAAGGCCAAATTCATCTTCTAATTATTAGTCCACCGGTCCTACTCCATTCGACCCGCTACGGAACGAGAAAATTGATATTTGAAAAAACTAAGTTACCGGTACGGGTGCAGGTCAAATATATTTTACACGGAATGGATGCAGATTGTTCTAACTTCAGTTGTGGCTATCCGGTAATCTCCAAATAGAATTTGTTTTCAAAAATATACTAAATTTCGTTAAAACAATTACTTTTTCAAAAAAAAAAGTTTAATTAAAATATACTATTTAATATTATTTTTTAGCAAAAATAAAATATAATTATTTTTATTATTAAGAATTATCCACAGGTCCCGCGGATTATCCGCAAAATTAAGTGAGACCAATACGAATAAAATTTATTTTCTTTGCGGGTCAGGCGGGTCGAACAAGGCGAGTTTGACCCGCTTCCCAGCACCAAGCGTAGTTAACTGATATTATTTTTTCAAAATAAAACTACACAAAATTATATAATACATTTACATATATATTGATGATAATAATAAATTAAAATCTACATTAATTTTAGAAAGTTATATTAAGAGCATTTTATATCATCAAAACAGAAAAACTTATCAATCGATCTGTAGATAAAACAACAAAAATGGTATCCACGCGTTTTAAGCGCGAATCAAAAATCTAGTTTATTCATTTATAGTAGTGCCCGTCAGAAAAAAAAAGACTAAACTAGCTAAACTACTCGATTGAAGCAAATTAAATATTATTTTAACATATTATACTAGTAATTTTAAAATACCAATTTTCTTTTCTTGCATCAATTTATTTTTTAGGTAAAATCCTACAACTTTCAGAGCAAATTTTGCTTTTCTCTATTATTATTTTTTTTGTCAGCCGCCCATTTACTTTAGATCAAGTTGTGACCAGTCGAGTCGATTCTCCGAGGGGAAACTTCATCTAGTCGGGTCTGATCTATATGGGAAAATGAATAGCCTCTACTCCTTGCTTCTTTAGCTAGTGCATCCGCTCGTCCATTTCTACTCCGCGGAATATGAGACAAACTCACATTCTCGAAGTCCCCCCGTAGTCTCTGAAACACCTCGATCTCTGTCGTGAATGCCGGCCAGTCCTCCGGTCTAGTAGACATGTCCACTAGATCCGAGCAGTCCGTCTCAATCCGTATCGAAATCATTCTCAAATCTCTAAATGAGATTGCTCACAGTAGGCCTTCCATCTCAGGTCTTCCATCTCAGCATGCAGAGCTGATAGGCTCCTTCTACACGTCCGTAATCCGAATTATTCAGAACCCATTGATCCTTGAGACTCCACCCTAAGCCACTGACATTACCATTATCGATCCATGATGCATCAATTTGGCATGTAAGGGTTTGGGGGATCCTAGGGGGCTCTGAACTAGGAGATACCTCCTAATCCTCATTTACTTCCTCTTTCACGTTTGCCTTCCTCCAACATTCTTCCTCAAGAGACGCATATTGAAGAGTGTCCATTGGAGATACATCTTTCCCATTTCTCTATTATAAATTTAAATTTTGGAGGTTTCAATAGAAAAAAGTGTCTTAAGTAAATGTAGAAAAATGTATATGAATGTATGGTAAGTGGAAGTAATATTCAGTTGTCGTTATAATAAAAATATTTGGTTATTCAAGTGAATTTCTTTTGTTTGGTTTTAAATCTCAATGAGACGATTTTTAAAGAAAATGTATATATATTATTTTACACTCTTAATATGAGTAATAGTTACGGTCGGGTATTTTAGGTGGTTTAGTCTGAATTTTTTTTTGGGGTCTGATTTTCATAAATGACTAATTTTTTAAAAATAAATTAAAAAGAAAATGGCTAAATATTGTCGTTTTAAACGATGAAACCATTTTAGATATACAATCAGCCAACTGATTGTGGTTAATAGACATTTAAGCAAAAATTCAAAGTTCATATATTTATGTTGATTTATATTAGATTCATGATGAAATACGCATTGATACAAAATTCGTGAAAGAATAAGCACCACAAAAAAATAAAAAAATTGGAGTTTAAATAGGTCTTTTTTCCTTGGTAGAGTGTTCCACTTTTTTTTTTTTGCTTCTTCATAAAGTTATTTTCTAATTTATTTTTGATCACCTAGTGTGTTTTGACGTAAGTACGGATAATTGCCAACATTTTAGGTTCTTTATACTCTTCCCATGTGCGACAGTTTCTGGTGGAGTCACTTTCATCATTTTCTTTGCGTTTAAATTTGTTTTCTGCAAGAGGATTGGTTTAAAATGGAATTACGTATTATTTAAAGTAGAGTGGTACGTAATTAAAAACTTGAATGATATAATACTTTAGAATAATTTTTTTTTCTATTTTTGAATTAAAATGAAGTGGAATTGAAAATATTTTATTTCAAAATTGAGCGGGGGAGATGCTAGACGAAGATGTGTGAGATATGGAGAACAGATATAAGTGAAGTAGAGTAGTTGATGATTGGTGGGAACAATGCTTTGGATTGTGTCTGGAAGAAAATTGGTGAAAGTCGACTCAGACATCAGTCCTATCACCCACTCGCAGCTTTATTTCTTCGGTGCTTTCTTGATCAGATTTAACTAACATATGTGCTTCTTTGCCCTATCTATAACCACCACGCATTATCATTTTTGGATAAATAATTAATAGTCATAGTCATGACGCAAGAGATTCTTCATATATTATATGTTGCAACACTAATCATGAGAAAAGCTCTTTCATATTTTCATCGAACTTTTTAAATATATAGATTCCAATTGGTCTTTTTGTATTGGTTATTTACATTTGGATAAACATATTAAAAAAGAAAAGGTATATTTGAATGCACTATGCTGATAAAGATTTGGCTTTGCTTTATTATAGGAATCAGGGCATAACTTACAAATGTATTGTGACACAAAGTAAAAGGTGAACCCATCACATATAATAATATATCTGGAGTCGTGAAATAACTTCCAATCACATACCAAAAGAAGTTTCAATAATCATTAGTTATGACTCAGAAAAACTCAGATATGTGTCAATCGGTCACATTCGATAAGAGTTAGTACGAAACTAGAGAAATATGAATACAAGCACCATCATACCATGCTGATTTGTAAGAACGACAAGAGATACATCTTTTCAGTATACCGTAATAATTTTAGTTTTAAAAACAGAAAATGGTTGATATTCCAAGACATCCTGCGTAAAACCTCACTGAGCCTTAAGTGTACCGCACGATAAGACAGATAACCTGCACGTTAATTGAAAAGAAAACATTCTCCACGTTCAAAATTCGTCGTCTTGGCACTCTGTAAGAGAATCACATCAACATCAGCCAATGAAATGAATCAACGTTGCGTATATTCCAAAATAATAACAACACTCAGAGGTCTCAGAGCCATGACATAGGGTCTCAAAATAATTTGATTCAATATTCATCTGTAAGAGCTTGCCCTTTGGGCTTTGACACAGACTAGAAAGGAGACATAAAGTGATGTCTTGAAAAATCACGTGGAAAATAAGTACGAAAATACCAAACATGGAGGGAAGAGGTAGAGATACTCTTTTGCTTTCGTCTATATCACACTTGTTCCCCGCTAGAATCTAATTGACATTAAGTGCTGCTCATGTTCGGATCCAATTCCTGAAGTCTATCCATAGTCTAAAACGAAAACATAGAAAATAAGCATTTAAAAACCATAGAAAATCATACCTTCGTATATAATGATTGATAACTAATCATAAGGAAAACATTAGAAAAAAATAAATCATAATGGAAGTAAGAAGATATTTATTTGTCAAGGTTTCTTTTACGGACTCATAATACTCTTGTGTTACTAAACTTCCATTAAGAACAGTCGCCACTGTAAACAATACATATCAACGAGGACCAGTACCAGAACTACAAGCATACCAAAGTGTTGTGACCTAGTGATTAGTGCAAAGAATATTGGTTCTATCTTAGAGGTTGCCCCCTTAGGTATTAGGATGTATACTTTACATGCTCTGTTATTATCCACCTCGCCTAGTTCTGGATCCATCAAAATGTATCATGTAGGAACCTCTGTTTCAAACTTCGAAGTTAGACCATCTCTACTCTAATGGTACCTCATGGAACTTATATGTCAAACTTCGAAGTTCGAGCATCCCCATTGGTGAACTCCTCGAATCGAGATTCCCAAATTCCATTTCTGATTATTATAATTTGTTTTCGTGTTACAAAAGAAAATTTGTTTTTCATTTGATTTTTTTTTTTAAATTGATAAACTAATCAATCACAGACGCCGCATGTTAGTGGAACACGTGAATAGTGTTGATACATGTTCCAGCGAACTCGAGTGATATAGATTCATAAAAAACAGATTATTATATTAATATTTTTTTGGAAACTGTGTGAGGTTCTCTTAACATCATTTAATGAAAATGCTCTTAAACCATCTATAATAGTATTTTATTCTGAAGAAAAATATCAAAAACTAAGAGAAAAATTTCTCTAATAAACAATAGTACATTATTTTGAAAGAAAAACAAAATAATTTGTGAATACTATTACTTCAAATTTGAGAGAAAAAAAGAGGATAATCTTGGAGATGCAAACTCGTCGACTTTAGGCAATTTTGGGAAGTGTTCAGGTGCAGTTTAAGGAAAAATAATCTTCACCATGCATTAATCAATGCCACGTCATCAAACATTTATTAATAATAGATCAGAGAAAAAATGGGGACCCTTGCATCATTCATCAGTTTATCAGCTGGGATCTACCTAACATACGGCTCAAGTAGGTACGTAGTTTGGTGAAATTTATTTCCTCAAATAGCAATTAATTATTCTCGGCCCATTAGAGCATAACTTGACGCAAGATAAAAAATATCAAGGCCCATACAAGAAAAGACTAAGTCAAAGAGCACGTGTACAGCCGTGATTTTATCTAAACGTAGGCCGCCACATCAGTCGCCGTTGATATTTAAAACATCACAATTACTTCTTTCTTCCGTCTCTAGTCATCTTCTTCGTCGTCTTCTCAAATTAGCTTCCTTTCTTTATCTTCATCCTCATTGTGGATATTAATCCTCCTTGACTTTTTTGTCTTGTTTTCGAATCTAGGGCTTCACGGCTCGTTTGGAGAATTATCCTAATACCTCGTGGTGTTTTTTTCTTTCCGGCAACAAAGTTTCTGAGATTTTTTCAAATCGAGATTCGAGAATTAGGGGTTTTCCGTTGGGTTGTAGGGTTACGAAGAGCATAAGATAATAATGCCTTCGGTGCCCTCTAAGCTACTCCTTCTTCTACTTTTGATACCTTCGTTGACTCAGTATCATTCTGGTTTGTCGTGTCATCGTCTTAAACCTCTTGAAAAGTCTGATTGGCGTGGTAATCTTAGTTAACACTCCTATCTTCTTTTTCTTCTTATCTGCTCTTTTTTACCCTTTTCTTGTCTGGTTCTTGAGATTCTCCCAGCTCGATCTTTGTTTTTTTTTTTCGTTTTTTTGGCGTTGCTTGATTTGCAAGTTACAAACCACAAAGGTATGAGCCTTTTGTCTCTGTGAATCTCTGTTTTTCGTTTTTTTGATGTGAAAATCATTTACTAGTGATAATAATTCTGAACTTGTTCGTGGGCAGTTACTATTTCTAGTGGGATATGAGCTCTGTTTGTGGTAAGTTGGATTTCAAAGATGCAGACTTTGACATCTCCACGAAATGCTCTAATGGCTCGGAGCATTCCTCTCATGCTGGATCTGAAGAGTCTCTGGAGTCTGATGGAGATGAAACTGGTTATATACACCAAACTGCGAATGAAGAATACACTGAGAAGAATTTAGACAAAACTACTTTAGGTTCTTTACCTCTCAAGTCTTCATATGTTGAAGACAAGGATGAGAACATTACCACTGTAAGTCAGTTTGTGTCTTGCTTCTTATTACATGCAAGACTCTTATCATTTGTTTATAGTAAGTCTACATACATAGTCTAATGAAGGAGAATACATTTGATCCAAGAAAACACTGTTTCTGGAGTGTAATACAGAGTTAACAGCCCTTAGATTTAGGCTGTGTCTTCTCATTCGTCAGTTAGACTTAGAATTGATTTGTTAGTGAAGTCATATACTCAAGCCAAGGCTGTGTACACCCTAATTATCTCACCTGTTTGTTTTATTTTCAGCAGACACCAGTTGTTCTCATCCCGGCCATAAAAGGCAGCCGGGAGAAGCATGGCTTGTCACTGAAGAAGTTTAGTGTTTCATGGGCGGATGACGTGTACGACCCTCCTCCTTCCATAGCCTCGCACACAAGAAACAAGAAGCAACATCAGCAGCAGAAGTCCAAGAGCAAAGACAACCACAAGAAAACCGGAAAGAAAGGTCAGAAGAACTCTTCCTCCCGTAGTGCCAAGGACAAGAAGCAAGCTGCTCGCAAACACAGTCGCGAGAAATTTGATTGGGTAACTCAGATGCCTATTGTTGCAGCATCTTCTTGAATGGCATTGGCACATCTATGAGCTTGGCTCCCTCTTTGTCTAATAAATAATCAAATCTCCTTTTTGTGTGTGTGTTTCATGATTCACTTATGGGTAAATGGTTGATCCTAAAGCACTATTGTGAAGACTTTGTTTAAGTTTGGTTCTTGTTTTCTCTTTTTGTAATTTTAGTTTCACCTTTGTGAAATATAACCCAATGCAACTTTGTTATTTGAATTGACGTTGTCTTATTTGAAACAAGTTTACTTAAGAAACTGAGAGAACATGACACAACCACGTTACATGAAACTATGTCTAAGATCATTCACACTGTCAGAGTCATAAATCCAATTTTTTTCTAGAACCAACAAAATAAGTAACCGATTTGTCCAAAAAAAATAAAAAAAGTAACGGTAATTAACGACTTCAAGCGGTAACTAAAACGGCGAGAAACTTAGTCGTTTTAGAGTTTCCGCATACCTCGTTAGAAATATCCAAGGAGCAGGTGAGATTTGGTTATCCTCTTTCTCTCTACTTATCTCCTTCATCAAAGCTACTCCATTTCCATGGCGAAAGAGCTCTCTCTATAAATCAATAGAGAGAGACGATTATGCGTTAAAGAAGCAACCTTCCGATGATTCGCCGTCTATTCTCGTCTCTGACTCACCGCTTCAGCTGGCGGATTCCGGTTTTCCTCTACGGCGCAACCTGGACGGCGTTTCTGACCATCACCGTCGCTATTATCTCGCTAGCGCCGGAGTTCGCTTTCGTCTCGGCGATTTACCCGTCGTCTTCTTCGGTGGAGTTCTCGCGGCGGTGCGGCTCCGACGCAGCTGTTTTGGTGCCGTTGGATCTTCCCACGGAGGTGTTGTGTTTACCGGCGAATCTGTTCCGGAGGTCGAAGATGGACCTCGTTGTGCCGCCTGTCTTTGCAGCTATAGTGGTCGCTGTCTCCGCCGTCGTTGTGCGGACAATGGGCCTTTGGGAGGAAGAGGAAGAAGCCCTTTAACGTAGGCCCATTTATGTAATATAATTAACATTGCATAGAATTATTCTCGTGGGTGTGAGGTTATGTGCACCCTCTTTATAACCTTGATGTGTCATCTCATTTGGAGCAATAGTTAACATATCAAGCATGTTATTACATATCTTATTCATAGTAAGTGTCATTCTAACCATTTTTTCTTGTTACATAAAAAGTGTCACTTTACAATTACAATACAAATTATACTTACTTTCAGCTGAAAATTAATTATAAATTGCATTGATTTAATAAATAATTCTATTTATCTAAAATACTATTGGTTAAAAAGATATAATTAATAACAACTTGCATATATTTCCCCATTTTATTAATTTGTGTGAAAAATGTCAAAGTGACACTTATTCAGAAAGGGAGGGAGTATAAATTTACTAATTTAGCGAACCATATTATATACATTCATCCTTACGTTTTAAAAGTCTAAACAAAATGTTTAAGAGTTTGGAGACCTTTAATCTTTGATAAAGAGTTTATTTTTGTTTCTATCAGGAGTTGGGAATTTTGAATTGCCAAATATTATTTGTTAATTGTCCAAATTAACGAATTTTTTTTAAAAAAAAAATCTAGAATAATATTCGTAAAACATTTTATGCTGTGCAAGTATAAACATTAAAAAAAATAGAAATATTCAGAAAACCTTTAAATTCATAGATTATAGAATCATCTGTGATGGAAAAATCTCTATGATTGAGTAAGATGAGTGATAGAAAAGGGGAAAAATGTTTTTGTTGTCATTACAGATTTTTTTTAAAAAAAGGTTTGAATCTCAAAAAAAAAGGAGCTGAAGACTAACCTGCATAGATTAGTAAGCAGCCCTCTATAATGCTTGTACAAATATAGTAATGATAAAAAAGAAAACTATAGTAGAAGAAACAAATAATGACCGATCATTAATTTATGAACTCCAAGCAATCGATAATGTGAAAATGGTTGAGGCGACCATTCTCCGCTCTATATATCTCTTTGTGACAGAGTAAGAAGACCACACAAGACTTTGACTTAAGTCTCCAGCTTCATTCACCATTTATCTTGAAACATCTTGTGGTTTTAGAGATCAGTGTTACACCAATTGCATTAATACTAATATGTTTGATTAGTTTTTTTACTTGATTAAAGCTTACCGCTAGCGAAAATCACCACCAGTTCAAGCAGTGTCTGCTTTCCCATTGTGACCAACATATTTTTTATCTCCTGCAGCACTCTGATAATAACCATCATCATCATCTTTACCATCATCATCATCTTTACCATCATCATCATTAGAAGTCGACACCTTTGGTGCTGCTTCCTTTTTGGTACTATTATTCTTTTCTCCCCAGTCATCCCAAGAATTCGAGTTATCATAACTGTTGTGGTAACCACTTTGTGGTGCTGCTTCCCTTTTGGTATTGCTCTCTTCTCCCCAGTCATCCCAAGAACTCAAATTACGGTTATTGTTTTGGTAACTTGATGATGATTGTGATCCTCCAAGAGATAAGTTTGTTGCTGATTTGTTCAGATAGTAACTGTTGTCCTCACTTTTATTATGTTGGTTCCAGGTTGATGCTTCTTCTTTAGTGAACTCTTCAACCTTCTGTGAAGCAATGGCCATTACTCCTTTCATGATCCCCCATGTCCTCTGTCCTATCTATGTTGTCTTATTTGCAACAATGTTAACAGTCTCACTCACCGTCTAATTTAAGCCACCTTCTTTGACCTGCAAACGAACAAAAGTTTCTCATCTTAAATCAAACTCTCTAGTTGATCTAATTAGACAACTATGCAGCTAAACTAGACACTAGATTTGTGTTACATAACATTGTATAAACTGGAAATGAGAAAATGAGACTACATATCACATGTAGTTTTCAAGGGTAATTGGATGCAACCTAGGAAAATCAAGGCACATGAGAGAACATAATGATAACAAAAGTATCTTGGAAGTGGACTCCATGATTCATGTCTGAACAACATTGGCAGCAGATGTGGCAGCAAGAGACAAGCTTCCGAACCCCTATTTGCATATACGAGTAAAATGAACACAATCAAATAAACATAGATCAAATCACTAGACTCAACATCTAATATAATCTGATCACCATCAAAAGCATCAAGCTTTACCTCAAACATGACACATAAAACATCACTCCACTCAACATCTAATCCAATCACTGTCAAAAGCATCAAAATTTACCTCACAAATGACAGAAAAAAAAAAACTCATCTAGACATCTAATCTAATTACTATCAAAAGCATCAAACTTTGCCTCAGGGACATAACAGAGAAAAACATCATTCAACTCAACATCTAATCTGATTACTATCAAAAGCACCAAACTAATTTGATGAGAGGTTTATATAGGAGCGAGCATACATCTTTGTGCTTTCTGCTTTTATTTCTCGCGGAGGATATGATCCGTTGGATTTTGTTTTTATCTACGGTTGTAAGTATCGATCCGCGTTTATTTTAATTTGGCTGCATAACGTAAGGACTGTTGGATTATTTCTAATTGACGGTTCACAATATCGATATGCATGATTGTAACTTATTGGCTAGGGTCTGTGACGTAATCAAATATGCCGTCGGGTCAGTTGTGTTATTGTAATTAGGAGGGAAAATAAAACCGGCGTCGTAGATATCTTTTTTTAACACTGGCTGAATTTCTGTGAGCTGATATAAAATATGTACAAGGAGTTCTGGTAGCTTGTATGAAAGTCAAGAAACGTTTACTTCACGCTCCATGGATGATGTTCATTCGTATCTACACATGGCTCATAGTCAGATGACAAAGACTGGTTTATATGTCTTATTGTTCAAAACACATTGACGATGACATTGCTCTAAGAGATCCTAAATCACAGCAAACTCTTGCCCAGTTTGCTTCTTGTTCACATAATCATGACCGGGCCAAACATTCAAAAATTTGTTCAGGGTCCTAGGCCTACACAAAAAATATTCCAATAATAAAAATTTGTAATGTAAAAAATTGAAAATGGGCCCATGTGTTCTAAGCAGCTGCTTCTGTTGCCTACCCTTTGGGCCGGACCTGCACATAATACGCATTGTTGCCTCTATTGACCATGTAAATATTCCCTTATGTAAGCATTACTATCCATCATGGCTGAGTTATATTGCAATTCGTTAGTGACACGTCCATAAACAATTTTCATGATCCCGCTAAGCTCCATCCACCACCTCCTCCTCTCTTCCTCATCAAGAAGACACGTGAGGTTCGGTAAGGAAAAAGTTCAATCCCATGAACACACTGAGGATTCGACAAACCTATATAGTGCTTGCTTCCTCTACATTCCGTGAGACCTTACAAAGCCTTTCTCAACACCAAACGGGAAAAAATGACCACCTTGTCTAGGATGCCCGTTCATGTAAGTCCTCAGCTGTATCTTCCCAAGATAATTCTCAGATTTTTCTTTAAAATCCCCACATGTACATGTTCTCTATATCGTGCTGAACAAGAAACACATCAAGCTTCAGCGCATCAGACTTATCAAAACCAGATACCCCGTTGCTGTCACTGACCATTTTCGCCTTTAACGTATGGGTTCGAAGTAGACTATCAACACGCTTAGTTACTTCCTCCCAACCTTGGGGACAACAACACTCATGTTCATGTAGTTATCAGTCTCGTGCGTTTGTGAACCTAACCCTACATCAAGAATGTCGCGAGAATCAAGGTTCCCAAGGCTGAGGCTTAATCTCCAATACAACTCGAAGCTCAATTCACTGGCCCATCAGTGTACGACTCAGGACCCAAAAGTCATTGAATAAAGAATAGTTAAATTAATCTTAGTGGCACCGACAACCACCAAATTTTCCAACCACTACTCCCACGTACCATCATAACAAAACACCAAAGAAACGAAAATCCTCCTCATTTCATTGTATAAAAATAAATAAAATAATAAATAAACTCCTCAACAGATCAACCAGTTTAAATGCATGTTTAGATTGTTAGAGTTTGAGAACGGTTCTTTTCTTATTCTTCTTTTTCTGAAACGAACGGTTTAATCATATTTTATGTTTATCAATTGTTTTATATATTTATTTTTCTTAAAACTATCACTTTCTAACGTTTTTATTTCAAAAAATCAAATATCATTTACATTGTTTTTACATTATCTCTGCAATAAAAAACCACAAAACAAATGGTTTGTTTTCTGAAAATTTATTTTTTGGTACCACAGGTTATGTATATGTGATTTTTAAATAGAGTTAAGCCATAATGATAAATTATTTGAAATACCATAAATTGAATATTATTTAAAATAGATATTTAATTAAAATATTCTAATATTTAGGTTTTAAATCTAGTAATTATTCTTTATGGTTTAGTATTTAAAGGTGGAATTGATTTTATAAAATTTTACATTATTTTAAATATTTATAATAATTTAGAGGATTATTTTATTTTTCATCACAAATTTAAAATATTTATAAAAAGTATTATCTTTCTAATAAATCTAAAAAGTGGTACGTAAATTAGAATCTTCTCAAACATATTTGTAACAGATATGCTATCTTTCTAAATAAAATCATGTGGCTATTAAAATAATGAACAAATCTACAAAGAAATTAATTATGTGCGAAAGTGATTGTTGCATTTGAAATTATCAAATTACAAAACATGCCTTAAATCTAGTGGTTATATACCATTTTGTTTATTTCACATTAACAAATATATATTTCTGACTAATAACTATACGTCGTTGGAACAAAAGGTAATTTGGAAAAAGAAAAAACAAAACCAAACTTAGTTAGTAAGAAGCACTTTCCACTATTATCTTCCTTCCCCACCAACTTCATACCACAATAATCATGTTCAATAATACCACCACCGGAGCCTTCGTCCCTACTCCCTCTACTACAGTTCCCACCACCGTCTTCCCCGGCACCACCATCACTTCCAACTCCACCTTCATCATCATCGGACCTCCTCCACCGTTCCCGGCGCCTCCTCGGAGCATCAACTTCACTCCTCTCATACTAATCATCGCCGTCATAGCAATCGTCGCCGTTCCCGCCTTAATCTACGCTCTTTTCTTCTCACGTTCTTCCCGCCGCCGCAGCTCCTCCTCCTCCCGCCGCCGCAGCAACAGCTCTTTCTCCGACGATCATGTCACCGTGGAAATCACATCGCCGACCACGGCCGAGAGAGACGCCTCAACCGTCGCGCCTGATTCCGGCGGGAAGTTCAAGAAAGAGACTCATTCCAAGGAGACCGGGAACGAGTGCCCCGTGTGTCTGTCGGTGTTCGCCGACGGCGAAGAGATCCGGCAACTGAGCGCGTGTAAACACGCGTTCCACGTGTCTTGTATTGAGCCGTGGCTCAAAGATCATCTCAATTGTCCCATATGCCGAGCAGGCGTCGCCGTTAAACAGACAGAAGCCAACGTTAATGTTAACGGTAACGTGAATCGCAGCGGTGGTGGTAACCGCAGAGTTTCGGCGACCAGTTGAGATGATGATTGGCGTCAAGGACTACCTGATGCTTCTAGTTTAGTTTGATTTTTCTTATATTTTTTGTAATTTATTTCTCGGTTTTTGTAATCTATGAAATGATTTTGAAATATTTATTGTGGCTGTTAGCAAATTGTTTTGTGTTCGTTAATTTATTTATTCTTAACGTGATTTTCTTGGTAGCTTCGTAACTCCGTAAGCAACAGTGAGTGATGGGATATGTAACGTTGACTCTTGACAACTCACAGACAATGCAAGCTCATTCTACGGTGTATAAAGATCCAAAACTAATCCAACGGTTCATACTCATCGAAGCTAAACTACAGTGTTTTTGACGTTCACCACGTAGAGGCCTTTTTAAAATAGGACTTTCGTCAACGATGTTATTATGGTAAAACTTTACTCATATATTAAAACCATTTCTGTAAATCTTTGCTTGAACCGGTTTTATTGGTTCACCATTCTCATATACGGTGTGGTTGGTTCACGTCAACGAATTTCATGTCTTCTTGCACTATTGACTTAATCAAGAACTAGGAAGAATACAAGTGATGTATAGGCTTCTGTTTGTTTGACTTTATCTAACCTCTGACCACTGAACTTTGAATGTAAAGCATAAGAGTGTGTCTAAATACTTGGTTTTGGCTGCTGACTTATCGATTTCAAAAATCTAATTGCACTGTTGGCCCTTTTTAGGTTTTCGAATATTTTGCATATCTTCTCATATACATTTTTTTGGCTAAAATTGGAAATCTTCTCATACTATGCCTCGCTACCTAAACTGAGCACACAAGCAAACACCGGTTTGAAAGAGTGAGGGAGCTAATATTATGTATACCTACCTAGAATGTTCTCCTTTTTATATTCAGATACATATCATCTGTGTCAGGCTTCTTGCATAACAGCTCGTGCTGTAATTTTTGTAAGAACCAAAGAGCAAGAAGACCTATATCAAATATATCCTAACTTTTACTATTTGAAGAAATCTGGTCTCTTTTGAGCTAAAGAACGAAGATCTTTGTCTGCTTCATTCAAAAATTTCATGGGTATAACACTTAATCTCATTGCTTGTTCACTCTTATCCTAAGCGCGCCTATAATTGTGGACGGTGGATTGGGGTTGAAGGCGCCAGGAAGGTTGGTAGCCAACAGTAAGCTGGAAATAGGTTTGAGAAGCTCATGGTAAGGCTTCTTGATCCTGAGAAAATCAGGGCTAAGCAATGTAAACAGTGTCGGTCCTTGCCATGTGCATAATGTGATTTTACATAGGGACCCAAAAAAATTGGGTTGAGTTAACTACAAGATTTCAAAGTTTTCTAATAGATTTAGGGCTCTTTAAGAAAAAGTTTTCACTATTCTTGTCAAAATAAATTTTTGCACTGGGCGTATGTAGAGAACAAGCCGGGCCTGAATGTAAATAGGTCTTTGTTGTCCAGTCTACTAATTCTTAATTATTGATGAACAACATATTATATATGCATGTAAATAGCACATTGCGATTGAAAAAAATTGAGTTGGTAATGAAAATTGTTTGTCTATTTTACATACCTCTAAAACAGAAGCCAGTGAACTATTTGTCTATTTTACAGCATCAAATAGCTTTACCAAATTAGTTTTCATTGTGACAGCTCAGATTGGTCTATTCTACACATAACACATTGAATGAATTCAAATCTGCAAATCAGTCTTTTTGTTCGTTTGTAGTTTCACTAGGCGATCTATAACTGTATAAGATCTATGGAAGTATGTGAGGAATGTCAAATTAGCTTTTGTTTGTTCATTTGTAGTTTTACTAGGCGATCTATAAGTGTATAAATATCTACCGAAGTATGTGAGGAATGTTTTTTGCGTGGTAGGTACAAACTTAGAAAAGAAACCTTGGAAAGTGAACCGATGGCCCCAAACCTCAACGTAATCATGGGCATTTTATCTGAAACCCAAAAACCGAACCGGAATCGAATCGAACAAACTGATACCAAAACCGGATTGAAAATTACAAAAACCAAACCGAGAACCGAACGGGTATCCGAATATTGTAAATATAGTAAAAAATATTAATTATTTTTAGTTTTAATATATATAAAATATAATTTTTAAATAAAATTATCCAAAAACCCGAATTATCCGAATATTTTCTGGGATTAACTCGGTTTTTTGGCTCTTTTTTTTTTGTTTTTTGGCTTTAAACCCGAACCAAACCCGAACTATTTCTAATTCGGTTTCACTTTGGGTTTTATAAAAAAATAGAAACCCGACCCGAACCCGATATTACCCCAATCGAACCGATCCAAAAATTTTCCGGTTCCTAAACGGTTCCTAAACATCCTAACCCGAATAACCCGAGAACCGAATAATCCGAACCGACCCGAACCGAAAACCCGAATGCCGAGCACTACCTCAACGTATAGGGAGATGGAGAGACTGAGAGTCACGCAGTTCGAGGAAGCGTGAGGATCAATCACATCTACGAGAGGGATAGATATTTCCATGCAGAGAAATAAAGCAAAGCAAGGGAACATGGTGGACCGGTCACGATGCTTCGGCTGTCGTACAACGACCAAAGCACCCATTTTACCAACTTTTCCTATTTTCAATCTCTTTTATCTTCTTTTTGTTGTTAAATAATTAGACTAAATCATTACATGATCAGTGATCCTATTATAATCATTATGTAACACCTCGAAGTCCGGTCTACATAACACCTTTGCCTCCTAAGTTTACTCCATATATTCTACTCGGATCAGTCTACACAGAAAGCAACTGTGTAATCACTCTTAACGAGAGATAATTCGTTTCTTTAAGTTGAATCAATCTATAAAACACACACATATTGTTGTCATTATTTTAAGGGACTACGGGTTAACATTGAATTTTACATAGGGACTTCATCCAATTTGATTACATAATTAAGTTCATTAGACAGTTAAGTTGATACTCTACTATACGAAGGATGAATAAAAATGATTTTATATTAAAAATCAGCTGTCAATAAAACTTTTATTTGTCAGAGCTTTGGAACTGATTGCAAGGAGTTGATCGAGATGTTCAGGAATCCTCAAGCATGTCCTACATTCTCAACGGAACTGGAAAAATTGTCGACACCGAAGATTTGCTTTTTTGATTTCAAGATTACAGAACGACGCTTCTGATTCTCTAGCTAAGGTAGCTAGATCCTTTTATCGTAAGCTTGTGTACGTTGGTTGTTCTATTCCGGTTTGGTTACCCAGACTACCTCAAGTCGTTTGAGTAATAGATCAGCCGTTTGATGTCAAAAAAAAACTTTTATTTGTAAATTTGTAAATGACAATTAAATATCAATCAAATTAATAATTAAATTATCATGAGTCTGACAGTGCTGACTTTGATCTGCAAATCTCGGTCTAAATGAATGGATCAATGAAGCAATGATCATCACGAAGCAAAACATAAAATGCTTATGTGCTAAGAAAATATACGTATATAAATGTGAAACTATTGATAAAATTTTAAACCCTAACTAAAGCAAGAAAAAAAGAGAATCATGTCAGTCTCACCCCATATGGAACACACAACCTAATAATTACATATATACCAATTATTTTTTATATCCCCATACCAAAATTTTGTACGCACATATGCATATATATGGACACATATATATAAAGGTCCGTCCACTTTAAATTTTAGCCATCTTCATTCTCACACTCAACCTTCTCCTCTCTTTCTTCATTTTCTTTGTTTTTTCCTTGATCTGATTCCTCTCCTAGATCTAGTTCCCATATCACCCACAAAGAAAAAGAGAAGAGAAAATAATAGATATAGGTACTTTAAGAAAACTGAAGAATAAAATCAAAAGAGAGTATAACCATGGTTTTCTCCTCCATCCAAGCTTATCTTGATTCATCCAACTGGCAACAAGTAAGTTCTTTACTATTCCATATGCGCAAGCCTCTCAAATAGGAGACATAAAATTATTACTATTGCTTATCAATTACATGTTGTAATTTGGAAATCAAACTAAAAAGAGATTTCTTAATTCAAACAAGAAAAAAAAGACAAGATATTCTTGCTAGGAATAAGGATGCTTATATTTTTTCTAAACCAAAAAAAAAAAAGGACTATTAATCTTAAATATTCTTCTTGCTTAGCATGTTCTTGGATATTCTTGTTCACTTTTAATAATTCCTCATTCTTTTTTTTTGTTATATTATTTTAGGCTCCTCCAAGCAATTATAATCAGGGTGGCGCAGGAGCCTCAGAAACCGAGGGTCATGGTCTTTGTCCTCAGCTGCAGCCACAGTCCAACGGTAGCGGAGGCAGTGGCTCGATCCGACCAGGATCGATGGTGGACAGAGCAAGACAAGCGAACGTAGCCATGCCTGAAGCGGCATTGAAATGTCCAAGATGCGAATCCACCAACACCAAGTTCTGCTACTTCAACAACTACAGCCTCACTCAGCCACGCCACTTCTGCAAAAGCTGCCGGAGATACTGGACACGTGGCGGTGCCCTCCGCAACGTCCCCGTAGGTGGTGTCTGCCGGAGAAACAGGCGTACTAAAAGCAGTAGCAACAACAACAACAGCACCGCCACTAGCAACAACACAAGCTTCTCCTCCGCAGCCTCGGGGAACGCATCCACTATAAGCGCGATACTCTCCTCGAACTACGTAGGAACCCGTGAGAGTATCTTAAGCCAGATTTTATCTCCAGGGAGGTTAATGAATACTAATTATAATCATCATCTAGGAGATCTCTTAGATAATACAAAAACAGATAACAGCATGAGTTTACTAAACTATGGAAGATTGAGTCAAGACTTAAGATCAGTCCACATGGGAACTTCAGGTGGCTCGCTTGTGAGCTGTGTTGATCCTTCTTCAAATGGGTTTCACCCTTTCGAATCGCCGAGAACAACTTCTGCGTCAATCTCATCTGCTTTGGCCTCGCAGTTTTCTTCTGTTAATGTTGAAGACAATCCTTACAAATGGGTTAATGTTAATGGTAATTGCTCCTCGTGGACTGATCTTTCTACTTTTGGCTCTTCTCGTTGAGTTCAACCAAAAAAAAACTATAGGGTACTTATTAATGAAAAACCTTAGTTTTGTCTTGTTTTACGTTTTTTTTTTGTTTAGTTTATGTTGTGATTTCCCTTGTTCTAGTTCCATGGTTCTAGGTACGTAGCTTAGGTTGTTGGGGTGTGTCTGAGAATGTTCCTTTGTTCTTTTTGTCAACATCTGTCAATCTTATTAAAATCATGATATGTTGAATGACTCAGTTTATTTTCCCACTATAATATTGTCCACATATTAGCTTTATTTTGTTCTAGACCATATTGCGTGTTGTTAATCATTATATTTTACAATTTTACAGTGATCAGTACTTTGTAGTTAGTACTTTAAAAGCCAACTAATTATGTATAATTAATTTCTAGACTACATTATTGTTAACCGAAACTGCCCAAAACAAAACACTATTTTGGTCTCAAGGTTTCTTCTTAATTTGGTATGCTCTCCACTCTCGACTTTGAATAAAATGTATAATTGAAAGATATTGGACTAAATCGTAAATGATATATGAACCTTTGACGAGCTAATCAATATTCTCCTATCATTATGATAATCTATCCAGAAACTATGTCTTGAAATTATAACTACGGAGTTGATTCCGAAAGTTCTCACCATAGCTAAGTCAAAGTGTACATCTCCAACTCAACCTATGTTCTAAATCAAAATAAGAAAAACTACGAGTGTGATTGGTCGTCACTTTTAGAGTAAAAATTGAAAGAGAAAACATTTACTCCTAGTTACTCCAACTATTTCCTAATCAAGTAAAAATGTTTTTCTTTTTATTTCCTCCCATTACTATTCAAATAGACATAAATGTAGACACATCTTTACTTTCATACTAGGTAATAATCCGCGCCTTGCGCAAAATGAGATTATTTGTTACTTTTAAGATAAAAAATAATATTATGTCTGTTTAGCATATATATTAGTTCAATTTTATGTTGTTTTTTTTAAAGTCCTAAACTATAACTATAATTCTCAATCTATATTTATTTTGGTTTGTTTGGTTTAAATATTTGATGTTTTAATTTTTTCGATGATAACCAAAAACTATTTTTATTTGTTTGGTTTCGTTTTATATAAATTTTAGACATTTTTATGTCGAACTAATAGTTTCCTATTGTAATTTCTAAAGACATGTAAAATCAAATAAAATCTAAATAATATTTGAAGAAAAAAAGAAAATAAAATTATCAACACAAAACATTTCACTACAATTTGAGCGATAGTGAAAGAAAACATTAAAAAAAATTCAACTTCAATAAGCATTAATATTCTCATTTGTGGTGAATATTTAGTTATATAGTCGCTAATGTGTACATGCATGTATATGTAAAAGTATATAAATGTGATGATAAATATATGAATATACCATTAATTAAGATTGAAAACATTTTTGTTCAAAATAACACATGATAGTAAATTCTTAAATAAAATTAAGTAAAAATAAAACAAACCTGAAAATTAATAACATTTTTTTGCATATGAAGAAAATCATTTTTTACCTGTAAAAAATAAAAATAATATATATTATAAACATCTACACTTGGTGCATGAATTATGTTTCTTAATCGATTTTGTGATTTTTTTTTTCTTTTTAAAGCTTTTTTATTTCTGATTTTTTTTCTACCAATTTGATTTTATTTCTAATTATTGGTCTGATATGAAAAACTTTATAAAAATTTTAATATTTGACTAAATTAAAAATCCGACTTTACGTGTGGTGTTTTTCACTTCAGTTTCTTTAATTCATAATCAATCACCGTATTTGTTGTTATTGTATACTGAAGTCTCAACCATGACCAATTTCGGCAAGGTACGAAACTTTCAATATCTACAAACATTTTCATCACAACATTTTAGTTGATGCGAATCTGAATGATTTTGTAATTTTTTTACAACAAAGATATTATTCATTAGTTTCACGTAGAAAAATTTAATTTATTAATACAAATGCTAAAAATGTAGGAAAAATGAATTAATTAAAAATTTGTGTGTAAACACATTAAATAATCAATTTAAAAAATTAGTGTATGAACGTATTAATTTCCAATGATTGTGAGACCAACATGTGTCAATTAAGGTGTAAACACATTTATTACAATGATTCTCTTTTAATATATAAGGGATTCATAAGAGTAAAACTATTTACTCTATTTTTCTCTCTTTCTCATTATTATTTGAGAAAATTACTAGAATGATACACAAAAGTTGGTATATGACTAGAATAGTATACATTTTCTAAAAATTACTAGAATGTTTTTAGACTCCTAGTAAATTACAATAAACACCCTTGTTTAATTTTGTTACTATTGATACAAATTTTAATTATTAAATCCACATCATAATTTTGACAATCCACGTCACTAACTAATTTGTGTCATCAACAGTTACACTGGAAAATCAACAGTCCCATATCTCCGGTGAACAAAAAA